ATTCAGGACAAGTAGCATTTTAAAGGAAAAAGTTGACGGACGCTGCACCATGGGATAAGCTAAAAATCATGATACCTTTTATCTTCCATATAGATTTATCTCCCCTTCGACCACATGTACATCACCAAGAATTGGAACACAAGCCTTGGTCATTGAACTGTTACTTCAGGGCCCATTTAAACAGCTAACATGTGACAATTTTTCAATACGGTGATAGCCAGTCATGTTTTGCTCTTTGATTTTTCAGGTTATTTCACTCTAATTTTTCAGGTTATTTCACTTTAAACAAGACATTTTCTTTCCATACAGCAACTTTACGGAGAATGCCAGGGTTCGGGAACCCTAGATTCACCCCATTTACAACAAATAGTCTTGCACAGGTGGCCTCTTTCTCATCTGTCACTCGTTTCACTTACATTTCATTCAAGGGGTGACAAATTGACCTTCATGAATTAGACCTAAGGCAAAGTAAACATGACCTTCTTTGTAGTTTACTAAATCTGTCTCAAGATCAACTCAATCCATCTATGAACTTAACCATAGCAAAATTCAATAAATAAATCAACGATTGATTGATAAGGGGAAAAGTAAGGTTGTAAGAGCTGCAGTGTATTGATTTCATGTCCTTACCTTAGCACTTTACGCTTGACCATCCTACGTTCAGTATCCGTATCAGACACATCATCTCTGTACTGGAGGTGGGAGGTGTCTGGTGTTGAGTCGTACATGGAGAAATTCCCACCAATCTGTTTTGGGGCTGGACCAAGAGGTTTTCTCAGAATGGGGTCTGTTCCAATATCATACCGGTTCTCCTTACCTCCTTGGTGATTCGGTATCTATGTATGGAAACCATCAACACTGTTGAAATCCAGTTAATACATCACATTTCATAATACTGTAAATCTTCATAAATATTCCTATTCATCACCTCTCTGACTGGAATGATTTCCAAATCTAATCAGATAGTCATCTATCAAAGTTTTACCTGTCAATAATATATAAAGTTCTTTTAGTATATTGTTCATAGTTCTTGACATTTTTGGACCGCATGAAATCGAAGATCTTTCAATACGGTTTGAATATAGCACCTATATTTGGGAAATAGTTCATACACATCCAACACTCTGACATACATAATGTATAAAGGCTATACCCTGAACAGAAGTATTAAATTGATAGAACTTTGAGTTCATGTCCTGGAACATGTCAGCTTATAATTATTTGCAGCAATATCTACAACACTTGTTATTACAATGTGTCACAAGGTTGTTCACATTACTCACCCTCCAGGAATCTTGTGTAGTAGATCTTTGTCGTGATTCTTCTAAAGGACTCCTATTATAACTGTGTGGGAAACCTGCTCAAAACACAGATATTTCACTATCATTCACATATTAAGACAACTAAGTAAAATTTAGATTTTAAATGCTGACAATTAACAAAATGCATGCAAATAAATTTGAAAGGCAAATATGAAAACAAAAAGCCTTAACAAATTGGAATTTATAGTCTAAAACCAATCAGTTTTACTTGCTTGTTGTTTACCTTCCAATCCTTCTAAGTCCTGGTTTCAACTTAATTACCCTTACAATAGTGTTACAAAGTGATTACCTTTATCTGCAATAATAACAATGGCAAAAAGAAATAATTCTTTGATACAAACTTCTTTTTTACATTTCCTATTAGATAAAACAAGATAAACTCATTGATTATTAATCCAGAACAGCACTGACCAATTCAGATCTTTTGGGGGCCATTCCCATTGAAAGTAGTGTTACATTTTCCCAAAATCTCTTAAAATTTCTCAATTCTTTAAAAATTTCATCATGTATTCAAATAACATAGAACATCAAATACCCAAAACGAAACACTCTTTCATAAATATGGATGTTTTAGTCATTTAGATGATACTTTATATAAACAAATTTCTGTATAATTCCAAAAATCCTTGTTTAGTTTTGTGTGACACAATTTTCCTAATTCCAACCACAGGCTTCAATCTCAACATAGAGACACAATGCTGTGTGATTGTTTGACTTACCGTTGGTTGAAACTGATGTGTCTGGAGGAGGATGTGATGAGAGGCTGTTGTTGTGTGAACTCTCTTTGCTGTACTCATGTTTAATTAGCACTTTAAGATCTACAACATGTAGTCAGAAATACTATTTTGTGAATTAAAACTTATGACGTTGAATGCTTAATTAAATTCTTATGTGAAGTTCTGTTTTACTGCATCAAGTATACATTTCTTCATAAGGTGAATGAGGTAGAAATTTACGGGACATTTTTCTTGATCAACCTTACTAGTACTCCAACCTATGCCATGTGTGAAAGTGATCATTTACAGACTTTGAGCCCAAGAATTCTATTGATTGTTCAAACTTATTATAGTCATTAATATATGGTTCAGATAATGGCCTGAAACACAGTGACACTATTCAGAAGGAGAATGTTTTCAGACTTAAGTATTTAATGCCCAAATGTAAATTGCCCCCGTATTTGCCCAGTCCCCATATATGAGCTTTATTTATTCTTTACACAGCATTTGATTCCTATAGTAATCATTGAAGGATCAAGGAAGATTCATAGGAAATTTGGTTCTGTATGTAATGTATATGATTATCTATAGGGTGGGGATCCCAATCCTGTCCCTGTCATGGTCCTGGACAGAGTTTTACTAAAGGTCGTAATTCCACACGTAGACGTTAGATGTAGGCGTAACTTACGTCAAAAATCTGTTTAACTAAGGTCGTAACTTTTAGTTACGTGTAAAGTTACGTGCGAGTCGTCGTCTTCCTCTGAACACACGTAAGTTCCCACGTAAGGCTATGTCTAACCCTACGTTTACATTCGGAGTTACAACCTTTGATAAAACGGACCCTACGCGCACATAACTAAAATCGTAACTTGACTAACGCCTACGTTTGCGTCTGGACTAACGACCTTTAGTAAAACTCAGTCCTGAGATTTAGTCCCTAGGGGCATGGACCTGACAGAATGATTGTGTTTATTTCTTCATAACCAGCAAGCACATGAAAACAGTCACTATAGGGTTATAGGGAGTGATCCTCAACCATTTCTAAGTTATTTAAATCTCGACCCCTTGTATATCCTCTTGGTTTGTACATTTTTTTTAACACATCATCACCTGAGGATACTTTTACCATCCATAGCTTAATACTTGTAACATAGTTCAATAGAACTGGATGAAAGCAATATGGTCAATATGAACCAGGTGAACAAATATGTACCTTTCTTAAATTCCTTCAATCTGCTATCTGGCACATTGTGGTATCCTAGTTTTGATAATTCATATCTGATCTCATCATCAGTGAAATCAGCTTCTTCCTCCAAATTCATCTTGTAATATCGTCTGACTTTCCTTCCAAAGCCTGTTGCAGTCTGCAAAGTATAGTATTATGCATAATTTAAAAAAAGACATTTATATTGATGTGTAAGTTTTATGTTATTTAATTCAGTGTACTGTACATCCACACAACAATTGCTAATTTGTAAAAACTTTTTCGTAATTTTCACACTTCATGCATGTCTCTGAAAAAAGTTTAAGTGGTACAGGAATTTGTTAACCAATGTGGAGGGGAAAAAAGAGGAAGTCTGCGGTTTGGAAGTTTCCTCAGATCATCAGTTGTTTAATTGTCACAATTAATGGAGTTTATTCAACAATTATTTACAGTTATCTACAGCCCTTATATAAACCTACCAACCAAAAATAAAGTTACAATCTATTAACAGCAATTTTTTTTTATATTTGAATGTTTAAAATTGGGAACTGTTCAGGTCTTTCAGTCATATATATACATACTGTTCAAGTAAACAAACTTGTTCCCAGAAAAGTGTCTGTTTCACATTTAGTGAAACTATATATAATAATGATAATCTTAATTTAACATTGTGTATATAGTCAACAACAAACAAGCTCTGTAGAGCTTGAGTTGTCTGAAACTCACACTTGATTGCACACAGTAGTAATGATTGTGAGCGTTAGCTACCCAGGTATTATGGCTACCGATAGAGGAACCCTCAGTGTAAGGAAGGTGTGGAGGAAAAAGCTACTCTTGTGTTTGATGCAGACAGATCTAGAGTTCTTCATCTTAAATTAAAGAATTCTTAAGTTAAGCACTCGACAAAACCTCAAATCGCGATTTCTGTGTCCACATCACAAAAGAAGGAGCGATAGATTTTATAAGTCTTCTCTGTGCTTTCTTATGTTGGCTTTGATACCATCGTTTCATTTATAAGTTATCATAACTGAAAGGAACCACCAAGAAAGAGTTGTTGCAATTTTGTTGTTGTTTTGAACGTCAATGATGGGTTAAACATAAGCCATGATGCAAGGTAGCACATCTTTGATATGTGTTTGAACCGAGCTCTTCGACATAAAAAATAATGAAAATAAAAAGGAGAAAGGACATGGTATTGTATGCATATGTATTGAAAGGGAAATAAATTATCCTAGGGCTTTAATAAAGACAACATATCTATAACATTATTCAACAAAGAGAAATGCATACTCATAACTGAAATACACTTGTACATCATATTTTAAATACGAATTAAAGCAGTATTACTCAATGCAAGTATGAAGTATTAGACAAGTTCAAACACGATCTGGGTTTTTTTCACCGAGATGGTTCATGTGAATTAAAGCAAACCACGCATATGAATATCCCAATAAAATGTGTTCTAATCTAACTGCATTGACTGCATCTAAAAAATAGTCATCAATATTTAGAAATACCCAACGATAGGAATATGTGAGCTTCCTTCCAGTCAGTTTCAAATGTTGTCCGCCATTCTTGTAAACAGATTTTGTATGTGTGGTAAGGGACATCAATTCAGGTTTTATGCGTCATATAATTTATGAACAATAAAAGTAAAAACTTCATAATACATAATGTTGAAAATGCTTTGAACGATTCGGATGTTGTAAGGTTTAAAACAATTACAATTTGTTTGCAATGATTTAAGAATTTTAAAGGGAAATAACTCTGTCATAAAATAGCTAAAAATAGGTCTCACACCACTATCAAATCGCGAGGAACATCAGTGAGTAATCAAAGATCCAAGAGAACGTGTAACTGTAATGCCGATGTCAAATTTGTCTGAAGTATAGAAAAACAAAAGATTCTTTTCATAGGTCCGGTAATGTCGATAGCTAAATCAGTTTACGAGAATCGTTGCTGACGATATGTTAACAATTTAGACTAGTTATAAGCTTAAATTAGATATCTAACCGATTATAACCGTAAACGTTGTAACAAGTGTCAGTCATCGACTCTTATCAAAAGGCGAAACTTACGGGAAGTAAAGACTGGGTAATTATATACACTCTAAAAGATTCGTATATGAATATATATACACAAGCTTCTATAGAAGGTCTTTGATTCTACCGTTAGACTGCCATTATTTGGTTTACAATTAACATCGATCTAACTGTCAATAATGATGACATTATTTTAAACGAAGACATTTTTTCATCAAAAAAAACTAAACAATTATGAAGCCTTAATGTGATAAGTGATGAAGCGTGCTCGTTGGCTTGCATGCTCAGCTGCCGTATCCGGTTAAAGCGGCCTCACTGCTGTAACGGCCCTAGTAAAAACGACCCACCCTATATACTGTATAGTACTGCAAGTACTACACATACATAACTTGATATTATGTTGATAAAGTTACATGCGCTTTCAAGAAATAAAGAGATGTACATGTACAGATAAAACTATTATAAGTGTGTTTTCATTGATAGTTGACCCTCCTCAGTCTCAAATACCTTT